TTGGTGTCTTCGAAGAGACCAACGAGGTAAGCCTCAGAGGCCTCCTGGAGAGCCATGACGGCTGAGCTTTGGAAACGGAGATCGGTCTTGAAGTCCTGAGCGATTTCACGAACAAGTCGCTGGAAGGGCAACTTGCGGATCAAGAGCTCAGTCGACTTTTGGTAACGACGGATCTCACGAAGGGCCACGGTACCGGGCCTGTAACGATGTGGCTTCTTGACTCCACCGGTGGCCGGTGCGGACTTACGAGCAGCCTTGGTGGCGAGCTGCTTACGAGGAGCTTTTCCTCCAGTGGATTTACGCGCGGTTTGCTTCGTACGAGCCATGATGACGAACTTCGAACTCTAGATTCGACAATGGAGGTGCCTCGAGGTGCCGTCGTGCTTTTATGGTCTTGAGCATGGGCGAGAGGAGCGTTGGGGGAGGAGTTTCACTACGAGCAATGAATGAGCGCCGAGATATGTAATCAGGAAGAATAATTTGGGCTCACCAAGAAAGCTGGTGACTTCTTTCTCATTACTGGGAGATCACATTCGATAGGATCAGCGATGATGTCAAGCTTCTCTAATATTGTTCTAGAAATACGAATTCACGGAATTGGCGCGCTCACGCCGGTGGCGGGTGAAAGGAGAGCACCATTCTCCTCTCCCCTCGGAACCCACGTCAGCCATCGAAGGTGCTCTCCGGGCGTATATAAACGAATCCAGTTTGAAGTCGAGCATTCAGTTTCTGATATCTGAGGAAACATGTCTGGACGCGGCAAGGGAGGAAAAGGTCTTGGAAAGGGCGGTGCCAAGCGTCATCGTAAAGTTTTGCGTGACAACATCCAGGGTATCACCAAGCCCGCCATCCGTCGTCTGGCTCGTCGTGGCGGAGTCAAGCGTATCTCTGGTCTGATCTACGAGGAGACCCGAGGTGTCCTCAAGGTCTTCTTGGAGAACGTCATCCGTGACGCTGTCACCTACACCGAGCACGCCAAGAGGAAGACTGTCACCGCCATGGACGTCGTCTATGCTCTCAAG